TGAAACAAAATATGAGTTCACTATAGCGGGTGGAGGAGGGATGTATGTCTCCCGCCACCTTTAAATACCCCGCTGCACATATCACCACAACTGTTGTAACAGCAGATATTCCCATTAAACAGAAACAGCAAAATCACAAGACACTTACTGCTGATGCGAGAGTAGACAGCATAATGTAGCATTGGAGTGAAAGCGGAGAGTTCTCTGGGAAAGTCCAAAAGTCATCTGCTACAAGTTATTTGCAGTCATATTTCCCGCCTCTGCTAATGGCTGTTTGCTCGAGCTGCCAATCTCCCCAGTCTCTCACACACATCCACCAGCTTTTAGGGCCTTGTAATATTTCAATGTGATTTTGATCTTTAAAAATGTTAGTTTTTGCATAATGTAGTATTACTAATATGTAATTTGTCTTATCATGACTTATTATGGGTAAAAATAAGTATATATTAAATGCATCTTTGGAAAGCGTAAATTTGCTACCAGAGTTTAACAGTTTATTCATGTACAGGTAGTTCTGCTATAACGCGATAATTGTGTTCTTGTAAAATATCATGTTATAGAAAATCGCGTAATAGAAATAACAGGGCTATGGAGAAAATAGGGTTAGGTGCAGATTACTCGAAATCGAAAAAATTTAGTAGTTAGCCTAACACAAAGGATAGCACAGTCTAAATAAATGTTACATTCATATCTAATAATGAAATCATACAGTAAATGTAACACTTTACCTTGAAAAAATATGAATGCAACTTGATGGGGGAGAAGGGTGATTTTGAGGTTGATAAAATCGAGCTTCTCTTCAAGTGTTATATCCTTTCTTTTACGATCATCACCGGGAATTCTATCACCATAACGCTTCTTGGAGATATTCTTCTTTACCATATTCACAGTTAATACCACAAAATTGGAGAAATAGTAAGCAAAAATCGCGTTATAGCAAACAAGCGTTCGCGTTATACAAATATCGTTCCTAATTCATAAATCGCGTTAGAGCAAATTCGCGTTATCAAAACACGCGTTATAGCAGAACTCACTGTATAAGATTTCTGATAAACTTCTTACGTGCTTATGTTTGAAATAACAAATATATGAATCTTTATATAATTTAGCTAAATATCTTTCTCGTCAGAAACGGTCATCCCAACAACTAGGAATAACTTATTTAGAGATACATCATTACTTCAAGACGAAATTGGACGTTTGCAACAGCCAATCAGCTGTAACTTTTGAGGAGGGGGCGGGGCATCTTTTCTCAGCTGAGAAAAACGCGCTATAGGTGACGACACTCAAGGTAGATAGATACCAGGTAGCCTCACTCCCATAGGATCTACGCTAATGAAAATAAAAATGAAATTTTTATTTACGGATTTTTGAAGGCTTATGATGGTATAAAAAGTTGTACAATAAATGTATGGAATGGAGATTTTTTGGTTTTATTTTAATTGGAGCCACTGATTAAATATATAAAATAAATATAAATATCTTGTTTGCGACCGTTGGATTTCATCCAACCTCGCTGGTTGGCTAGCAATGACATCACTTATTAAGCTCCGCCCACTTAAATACATCAAACAGTAGAAGCGGGATATTTAGAATAGTAGGAACTGTAATGAATATTTTACAATTCGACTAGAATTCCCGTTTTATTGTAAATTTCGTCAAACATTTTCTTATTGTATAATTCACATGGCAATATACACTCTATATTACATATTATTAAATATATATCTGATTAATAACATTTTATGCTAGTATATTTTGATTAGAGAAAGGATCTATACAGATAATAATACCACAATATTACAAACGCATGAAGTGGCATAAGTGGCGTGGCTTAGCGATCTCGAGAGTATAGTTGCCAATTAGTGAATTCCTATGGGCCTGCGTGAGGCTACCTGGTATCTACCTACCTTGACACTCACGTGACTGCTCCAGCAGACAAAATTTGAACATAACGGTAAATAATCGCCAACATTTCTCTTATACATCAATAAGCGTTATATAATTATTCTACCAAAATTGTGTGGCTCTCTAAAGTTATTAGATATGTATTGAAGATAAAGTATAAAGAATGCATAATAACAGGTAAATATTTACTTTCCAGCTGACGTGCACATATACAGTGGTGCCACATAAAACAATTAAGCAGACAACATTTCCCGTTGGGGGGGAGGGGGACCGGTGGTAGATGCGGTACCGTTCTTGCCTCGCAAGCGAGATGTCTCGGGTTCGATTCCCGGGCCGGTGGAAGTTGTTTGGACATACTTCCTAGCCCCCATTAGTCCCTGTTCACCTAGCAGTAAAGTAGGTACCTGGTGTAAATCGAAAGTTGCGATTTCGTATTCAGGGAAAGTTGTTGGAGCTTCCAATAACTTGATGACATAAACCACTGACTCTTCAGGCTTCTACGCCCTTGACTCTCCAGACTTCTACGCCCTTAACTCATGAGACATAAAGGCAAGCATGAACTTAGCATGCTTCCCCGTTGGGCGCTGTAAACGCTTCTGCGCTTCGCCTTACAGTCTCATTCAAGATTCTTCCAACAATGCTGGAGACAGCTGGCAACTCAAGGCTGTTTGTTTGCTGTAGTACGTAGTAAATATTATGAATGAATGTAAAAGTGATCAGTGATTGGTTACTTAGTTCCCCGTTGCTTAATTAATGGTTGGGCTTTGTTGTTTGGCATTATATTATGCCTTTCTGCTAGTATATACTGTTAATTTGATTTTAAAATGGATAGAGCAATGAGCCAACCTATATGAATTTATATTTAGATAAATAAACATAAGTAAAAATCGGTAAGTATGTTAAAGAACATCATGCATCAGGCACAGCTGTGTGCAGGCTGTTTATGAGGTTGCCTGTTTATCATTAATTTATACTGTACTAATATTATCTTCAAACGTTTAATCCATTTCGGGTAATGAATCCAGTTGTATCTAACTGATGCTAAACAAACTTCTTTCTAAAGACGCTGATTTCATGCAACACAAACTGCTGTTTTAATTCGCTGTGGGAATACGCAGAATCATCGGTTCACTGCTACCTGTAGTGTGTGTGTGTGTGTGTGTGTGTGTGTGTGTGTGTGTGTGCATGTGTGTGTGTCAATGCTTGTCTGTAAAAATAGTTATATAAATGAAACAGTATTATGAAGTTTATTTAATGACATTATTTATTTTACATTCCCTGTGAGGCATTGGAAATAGAAATTTATATATAATGTTTTATTTATTCATATATTTCTTTGTTTCAATTAATGTTATGAAATGGACACTACACAGCTTCAATGTGATCCTGTGGTGAACCTGATTAAAAACAAGACTTTTTTTTGCAGGCAAACAATCAATAATCAAAAGAAATGTCATTTGAAATATATAATAAGCTAAGTCTACTCTGATGACAAAGGTAATGACAGTTGAAAGATCTACAGCGATATAGTAATGCAGTAAATGCCCTTTCAAAAAAGCAAGACATGAACACTTTCCCAATGTCAGGAGTAAAAATGTATACAACATGCCAATGCCATGGACTAAACCAGCAGTTAGAGAAAAGTATCTGTTGTTTAAATGATCTTTTATTTGTAAAAATATTCCATGTAAATACTGTATATGGATCCTCACCAGAGAGCCTTCATATAGTTAGTGTGCAGACATTTGTTTACAAGGCATATACAGTACTCAACTATTATGGAAATGAAGACATGTTAGGTTAGGTTAGATTAGGTTCATCTTGTGAGAAAATGTCATGGAACCCATATACAGTAGGTACAGTCATGAAGTTCTACCAACTAATCAGAGACTAATAATGTTTAACATAGAACAAGATGATAATTAAATGGTTTAAAAATATCCTCAATACAGTCTGCAATGTTAATCGCAAATCATTCCTGCATTTTTTAATGTTTAATATAAACTATAATAATAATAAAGATAAGAATACAATGACTTTGCTTATGTCAGAATATAGCCTTTATTAAAAGCAGGATATGTCATAATATATGGATGATCAAGAGTAAAGTATTTAAAAAAAAAATCATCCACAAATTTCACAAATATATTAATACGTAATATCCACGTATGTATGCAGAGTGTAAAATAAAAAATTAATAATTAAGGCATACAGTCCGTTATGATTTCTCCAAAGGTATATGTTCAGAAAATTCCAGAAACTGCATTTTTTCTGGTCTATGAGTAATTTGGGGATTTTACGGAAAGTCTCCAAATTTTTCTGTTCTGAGTCTGGGAACTAGTTCCGAGGTTAGGTTAGGTAACAAATTCCAAAATCTTTCCTGGAACCGGAAAAATTCCCCATCAATCATGATACCAAGATTTATTTCTTCAGTATTGGTGAAAGGTGAATAGTCAGCTGTATCTCTACCTGTAAGTGAAACTAAAGTCATTAATATTGTGTTAGTTAAATTTGAGAATTCTAAACCATCTTTATTTATGAGGGTTAATATTTATAAGTTTCCAACACCTACATATTGTGGGTAGTTTTGTCTGTTAAAAAAATAATAAAAATAAAAAATTCCAATGGAAACTCATATTTGTTTGGTTTGATATGCAACACACTAAAAAAAATGAAATTTTTTTTTTATGTAGATTTTTATGGTGATTCCAAAACTTTGATCCCTTTTTTTGGAGAAATTCATAGAACAAAAATTATAACCCCTTTAACATTTTAATGTTCTCTTATTAACAGATGTAACAGTATGACACAATAATGGGGAGAACATAAAGACTTTACCTTTACCAACCATGTATCTGTTGAGGTGACTGTTACCGTGAATATAACAGTTACTTGTGAAACTGTCATATATGTAACAACTTTCTTGGGTTGTCACCACTTGTAACAATCACTTGTGAAGCACGTTACCTTATATTTTAGACATACTAAACTACAGTATAGATCAAAGTTTATTGGATCTTCTGTAGTGAAATCCAATATGTTCCTTTGTTTGTATTTATTATAAAAGGTTTATATGTACACTTCTGCCTATAAGACAGGGGCTAATACAATCGCCTTACATGTGATTAACGGCAGCAGTGGGACGAAAACAGAAAATGGCAACAATAGCCTTGTGATTTATAAATTATTATACTGTATACAGTACTATTTTTCTTAAATCATTTGAGTTGACTCAATACTGTAAATCCTTACGATTTGCTTTAAATCTAATTGGTTTGCATTTACTAACTTTTCTTACTGGATCTTTACCTTTGGTTAGATCTGAAGATACAAATTTACCAAACATATCTAAGGTGTCTTCTGATCTACTCATGCATTCATTTCCAACTTCAATCAGGCTGAGACTGCTGGTTCTCTCTCTGTGAACAAACAACACCATGAGGTTGTTACAGCAGCTCCACGATGATGTACACAGAAAGGTTTTGATGCGTTTTCGGGAACTGAACGAGTGTTCACTAGTTGCATTTGCTGTTGGCATTATGAGAATTAATTTGGCTAATTTTATAACCTGAGATATTTGTTGTTGCTGACTCAATGACAGTGACCTTAGGTACGCGAGCACAACAGAGAGTGTGACAACGCCCACGTGTGACCTGTTGTGGGTCAATGTACTAAGATGTGTTTGTAGATCTTCTTTCACAAAATCCGAACCGTAAAAACTAGTGACCGAGTGAAAGTCGTCCGTGTAATCCAATCCGCTTGCAGCTTTGAGAAGAAGCTGCTCGCAACTCTTATATATTTTATAGTCGTGCCGTTCAAATCTGTCCTCGACACAAGAAACTAAGAGGTGTATGGCCTCATAGTAAACTGCTCTGTAGATACGTTTTGGTGCATCAGGGCACTCTGGGGTTGCTTGTTCATCAGCAAAACAGTGTGTGTGTTGTGGTAACTTTGGATCCTCCGTATAATTTTCTTTTGCTTTTGTGGTGACATTAGCCCAAAATAACTCAAATTTATCCTCTGTCTGTAAACTAGTAAGTGTTGCTATAGTCAGGGCAGCAACAGGCTGTCCCGCAGCTGCTGATAATCTTTGCTTCTGAAGAGTTGTACACAGACTATCTGCATGTTGGAGTAAACATTCAGCCAAAGTAAGCCCAAAGAAAAAGTCAAATTGCAACATATGAACATAAATGCCACGGATTGTTGCTTTCATCTGAGTGTCGGTGCAGTGGTCCAGTGACCAGGACCAATGCCCTTTCAGGAGAGAATAATTTTGTATGACACAACTTAGTGCTTTTGTTCTGACCGTCCATCGTGTTGGACATAACATATATAAGTCAGAAGATTCCTCCCTGTCTTCTTTCATGTTTTCTTTCATTTTCTCAAGTCTTGCATCATTCTTTGTGGATCGTTCTATTAACTTGGTAATTTCATGAGTAGTTTCTAAAGCTTCTTTTATTAATTTGACCTTCATGATACATTCCACACTGGCCAGATTAAACGAGTGGTTATAACAGTCATAGTACAAGCATCTGGGCTCACAATGCTTTATTAGCTCAGATACACTCTTCATTTCTCCCATTGTTGGAGTGTGGCCATCATAACACTGCCCTCTGGCATGCTCTAAGGAAAGATTCATTTGTATTAAGAGATCCTTTATTACAGCTGTCATAGTAGAAGCATCAACATTTTCTAAAGCTTTGAAACCAATAAATTCCTCGTGAGTTTTAAGTTTATCATCTACCCATCGTACACAAACAACAAGATGTTCCTTATTTGAGTGGTCAGTAATTCTGTCAGCCAGGATGCTGAAGAACTCGGTGTCTTGTAAACTGACTGCTATATGTTTCAACACCTTCATACCCATCACCTGTAATATTTCATTCAGCATTTCACTGCCAGTGTATTTATTCTGATATTTCATAACCCATGTCATCAGCTGAGGATCACTTTTACCTCTTAAATGACACAGCTGAATAAAGTTTGAATTGGTTTTATCTTTTTCTCCCTGAATCCCAAGGCCTTGTCTTGCCAGAAATCGCAAGTTTGACAAAATTTTTAAGAATTTTTTTCTGTTAACAACTGTTTTCTTTTTATTAATGAGCTTTTTCTTTATATTAATAGCATTTTGTTTCTCCTGTAAAGTTGAAGGTAAATACAAGCAGCGCTCTACTCCTTCTTTATGGCAATCAGACCTCTCGTGTGCTTGAAAGCCTTTCTTGGTTCCTGTGGCATTATTCCAGTTTGCAAATCCACGTAAAACAAAAGCAGGTTCTATTGTCGTTGAAATTAGATTTTGTGTACAAGCTTTAATACATACAAAGCAGAATGCCTTATCTCCTGCTTCATCGTAATGTATCCATGGCCAGCGATCAAACCATGAAGCCTGAAATCCTCTTGCCACACGGTTTATCCCTATCACACGCTTTGGAAAATTGGTTGACCGTGGTTGATGGGGTCTGTCTCCAATGCCTGGTAAAGATACTATTTCAGAACTTCCACTCCTAAATTTCATCACTGATGAGGAGGATCCACTGGATAAAGGAAAATTTTGACTTCCTGGAAATGAAGAACAAAAATATATATAGTACAATAAATACTGTACAGTACATATATAACATTTAAAAATAGTACAGTCAACCCTCGCTTTACGCGGTCCCACATTCCGTGTTTCCACGTTTACGCGGTACCCTGCCGAAACCGGAATGCTCACATTCCGCAGTGCGTGTACCCCTTTACGCGGAGAGCGGCTGGCGAGCCGCGCCATTTTTGGATCCAAACCTCCCGCCATCCGCCATGTTGTGTAAGCGGCGCGAGCAGGGTGCGCACAAGGTTGCCCAGTCATCAAAACATTACCGAGTTCTTCACCCGCCACCCACCACAGCCGGCCCAAGTCAGTGATAGTGATAATTATAGTGAGGATACGGACTTATATGGACTTTGAGGGGTTTGACAAAGAGGCCCTGCAAGCCTCTGTGGTGGAGAGTGATACAATTGATACAAGTGATACAGGTGGGGGCCAATAATCTGCCCTCTGCCTCGGAACCAACCCCCATCCCCGTGTGCCCAGCCATCTTTTCTACTAATGTAAGTGTTAAAAAACCTAATATTATTGATATTTCTCTTAATTATTAATTGCGTGTGCATACCATCATAAAATTAAGAAGTTATTTTTACTACAACGTAGGTATTGTGTCTGAAAAAGTGGAGTTTGGGGGTCGGCCCGGTCTCTATTTCAATTAATCCCATATGTTATGTTGTTCACTTTACGCGTTTCTCACTTTCCGCGGTACCCTGTGGGTTGAATTAACCGCGTAAAGTGAGGGTTCACTGTACTGTACAATATTACAAAATAACATTGAACGATGCAGTCATGAAGATTTCCTGCAACAGTTCAGTTACAGTATGTTTTAGCTCAGTTACAGGTCTAAGGGAGATAGTGATGACAGTATTGCTTCTGAAGGTTAATACAGTACTGTATACAGTAACTGACAAAATAACATACAATATATTCAAGCCAGATTTTCTGATTACTGTAAAGTACAACATACATAAGAAAATTTTTTTTAAATACAGTGATATCCCCGTTAGCCGGAACAATTGGTGCAGAGCACTCCCGGGGATGAGAGATTTACGGCTAACCAGACGACTTTGTCAAGCCTGGAAAAATCCCCCATCCCCGGAAATATTTCCGTTTACTGGCAAAAAGTTTTCGAGTGTCTAAACTATTCATCTTGCAACACTAGCCCACATCCTCAGAATGTTTCTGTGTGCTGGAGAGTTTTCCAAGAGTCTAAACTAAAAATCTATATGATATGGTCATGAATGAAGCTGTGTGTTAGAGTAAAGACTGGTACAGTATTTTCCTCTCCCATGGAGCTGTGAGTCTCCTGTAACTGACCTGACCTGATACAATGTCAGGTGGAGGTAGAGTGGGGGATTAGTGGTCTCATATTACTGACCTTCTGATACAGTGTCAGGTCACCCATTATCGGGTGGGGGATTAGTGGGTCTCAGGACCTGAAGATGTCTTGAATAAACATGAAAGCTAAAATACAGTATTTTTTATACTTACACTTCTCACATTATATCCCTTCAACATTACATTACATAACATTTTAAAACATGGACTGAGGAAGTTGTGGGTGATTAGAGAGATGGAGTGGAAAGGAGTGGTAACATGCACCAGTGTTGCCAAGCACTAAGCTCCTCAACAGCTGATCTTATAATTCAACTCCACATAGTTAACCACGCATAAATTTATGTCTTACAATATGGGGGTGTGGGGGTGTGATGTGGTATTAATTAATAAATGACCAATATTGTGTCGTTAATGACAGTCGTTTGATGAATAGTAACAATACAATATTGTTTATTTTTTATTCTTTAATTAACCCCTACGCCCCGGGCTAGGGTGGCGACATCCCAAGTGCAGTAAAATGCAAAAAAATCTTTTCCAAAAAAATTTTTTAACTTTTATAAATAATAAAACAATAAAAAAAGACCTAAGAAAAACTTTATATTGTCCCTCTAGAAACTTCCCTGGTGCCTCAGTGACGAGACAAATAAAGGGAATTTTTTTTTTTACGTCGAGTGCTCGCAGTCACTACGCACTTAGGGGTCATCTTCCCACTTGCCTTTGTGTCCGAGATGACCAATAATGCATATATTTACTGATCATAATACTTATATCCTATAAATAATTCATTTAGAATTTATTTTATTTGCCTTACTCTTCATAAAAAGTTCTCTGCGACACACGCACACAGTCTGTCGTCAGGCTTTATGTCTGGGAGACCACGTAGGTCATACAAATAATTATCTGAATAATTATTCCACAAATAAATACATTTATAACATAATCATATCATTGTTATCTCTTAACACTAAACTAAAATAAAGCTACACAACTTTTAGTAAGATTACAGACAACCAACGATTTTCCAGCACCCTTGGTTCAAAAAATTAAATGTAAATTAAATGTGAAAAAGCCATAATTTTGAGCAACATTACTGTACACACTTTGTACTTAAATGTACTACAAGTACACTAGACTAAAAACTTTAACTCTTGTGCAAACTATGTAATGTGTATACTCAACTTAATCACCAATTTACAAGGATTCCAGCAATGCACGTTATATTCTGCTAAGTCAGCTACATTTTATAAGATAAAAACTTTAATCCTAAAACTACCTTCACCCTGGCTGGGAGGGAAGTTAAGTGCCCTCTCATAATTTTGTCTGGACTAGAGGAGGTGCCGGACCATCAGTTGCCGGATAATCGGTACTTTGATACAACATGATAAAATAGACAAACAATGAAAATGAAACAAACAAAAGTAGGTAATTATGTTCAGGAAGCTTCCCTGTGGCCGAGGTGTGGCGTGACAGGCAAATAGTCACACTGGAACCTGATGACCTGCGCTGGGCATTTAAACAGTGGCGGGAATAGGCGCGTTCTGGAACATCTCCCGGGGCCTAAGGGTTAATACCCCAACATCACATCATCAGTTCACAGTCTTTTGTGTGAAACACTTAGTTGCAGGGAGCAGGCAGAGGGAGGCAAGGTGCAGGCAGGGGGGGGAGGCAGGGACCAGGCAGAGGGAGGCAAGGGGAGGCAAGGTGTAGTCAAGGGGGAGGCAAGGTGTAGTCAAGGGGGAGGCAAGGTGTAGTCAAGGGGGAGGCAGGGGGAGGCAAGGTGTAGTCAAGGGGGAGGCAGGCGGGCAAGGTGGAGGCAGGGAGGCTGGCACTCCCGTTTTCACCAATTCTCAGCCTCTTATGGTGTATGTTTTATCATGGTTAATATAAAATAATAAAAACATTAAGCACAAATTATTAGAGTAAACATATCTTTATTAATTAATAAATAAAAAACAAATTAAACCATTTTACAATAGGAATGGAAGGCATGGGGAGGAGTAGGGGGGAGGAGTAGGGGAGAGGGAGGAACCTTTTGGTCTCCCTCCACCACAGAGGACCCGGGAGCATGGCGCAATATTTGGTCATTTTTCTATACGTGTTATAACACAGTATTTAATATTTTATATTATCAATGATAAAACATACACCATAAGTGGCTGATCACACTTAATATATAATACAGTAAAATCTCATATTTCGCGTTTTTGAATTTCGCGAGCACTACCTAATGTAACCAAGTCTTATATTTGGCGTAAAATACAGTGGTCCCTCGGTTAACGAACACAATTCGTTCCAGAAGGTCATTCGTCAACCAAAAATTTCGTTAACTGAAACCATTGTTTCAATGGGATATTGGGTAATTGGTTCCAGCTCACAGAAGAGTACATACAAAGTAAAGCCAAAAATGCATAAAGTCAGAAACACTCCTAAAATTCCCCTAAATCGCCCTTAAATCACTATACAGTACTATATATATCGTACATATCCACTAGAACTTTTAAATCACTACTGTAATGTGATATAGGTGATGAATTTTATCTCTTGTGCAAAATATATGATGTTTATATTCAAATTATTCCCTGTCTTGCAAGGATTTCAGCAATGCAAATTATATTATCCTAACTTTAATCTGAGGTATTATATAAAATAAACAACTTAAAGCATAAAGAAAACACCAAACTTTTGTCTGGGAACGCAAGGAGGGAGGGAGCCAGCGAGCGTGGGAAGAGGGGGGGAGCAGGGGGGGGAGAAGGAGGTGAGGTGACAGATAGTGTCTGGTGAAGTACCGGTATAATTTGTTTATTTATTTGAGATTTTTGTTTTTAGCTCATAAAATTCAAAGAAATTACCCGGCCAGAATATAATTTACATTGCTGGAATTCTTATAAGATAGTGATTAATTTGAATATTAAAAGGTAAAATTTGCATTAGACATACAAATTTTAGATCTAATTTAAGAATTTTATTAGGGAGAGCAAAAATTTTATTTCTTGTGCAAAATATAAGACGATTATATTCAAGTTATTCCCTGTCTTGCAAGGATTTCAGCAATGCAAATTATATTATCCTAACTTTAGTCTGAGGTATTATTTATTTTTAAACCTGTAAACCTAGTCCTCTTCCCCAAACATTTCTCAGAAAGGTGGGGGGGAGGGGTGACAGTGACATGTTTGACAGTTGGCACCTGTGGTGTGAAGTATTTAATTGTTAATTTATGTCCTTTAGACTGAATTTTTGTTTTTTGCTTATAAAATTTAATAGAAGTGACCGGGGTGAATTTAATTTGCACTGCTGGAATTCTTATAAGATAGTGATTAATTTGAATGTAAACATAGAAGAGATCACTGAATTGGCTGAGTACCTCCTCAGCTTATCAGCTGATGTTCAAAACAAAATGTGATTTTCGTAAGGATTTCGTTAATCAAATTTTTTTTTCGTTAACAGAATTGAAGATTCTTATGGAAGGTAATTTGTTAACCTAAATTTCGTTAACCGAGGCGTTTGTAGCATGAATTTCGTGAGATCCAGCCAGCAGAATGCTGGCCACCGTCTTGATTGACGTCACAGTCCTCATACCAGTCAGTCATTTCTGCTACAACACGTGTTTTGTCAACGCGAATTGGTTGTAACGTGATTG